GGATAGGGCGCCCCTGGCAGGGCGCGCGGGAGCGGCGGGAGGAAGAGGAACGCGGGGAATCCGCGTGGGACGCGGCAGCATCCGCCGCGGACGACGCGGGAACGGGAGAGGACGCCGAGGTGGAGGAGCGCGCGGCACAAATCGGCGCCGTACCGGCGCAAGCGGATACGCGAGAACTGCAGAAAGGCTAATGCGTGAAGGCGCGGAAGGCGGCGAGGAGGTGCTCAGCGAGGAAGCAGAGGACGAAGTCGAGATTGAAGAAAGCGATGGGGGTGACCCCGCTTTTAACCCAGAAAGAGAGGGGATGTTCGAAGCAGAGGCCGAGGAGGACGAGGCAGAGTTGGAGCTGCTGCTTCAAGAAATGGAATCCCCAAACCAGCAGGCCCGAGGCGATCCCGCGAACCGAACCACACATCGAAACCGAACCGCGGGGGGAAATCGTGCAAGGGGGGGAAGTCAAGCCGCGACAGAAGACGGAATTGACTCTGCAGCGGCCAATGAAAATTCAGAAGCCCCTAATCCAACCCCCCTGATGCTCAAACCTGACGACCTGGCGAAAAACACAGACCTGTTCGCCCAGGTTGCAGACTGGGACCTTGACCCCGTCGCCCACGATGCGCACGCCCACTCGCGCTCGAACGCACAGGCGACTGTGGGCGAGACAGGCCCCGCTGACGCTGGCGGTCAGAGGAACGCTCCGTGCGACGAGGAGAGTAGAGCCGCTGGCGCTTCGCAAGAGGGGGAGAACGTGGCGCCAAGGACCGATATCCAGACGCATGACGAGCAGGCGCGGACGAGAGGAGCGGGGAGCGGGAGAACGGTGGCGATACGAGCAGTGGTCACGGGAACGGCTCCGTGACACCTTGCGCCGAGGAGATCGAGGAGACCGCGGTGATCGCGGAGACCGCGGCGGGCGCGAGTCAGCGCGACGGTCGTCGTGTCGGCTCTCCCGCCTACCGTCGCGGGCCACCGGCGAACGATGGCGAGGCGAATGCCCCCGGTGCGCCACAGCCTCTGCGCCGGAGCGCGCGACGGACCCCACACGCGCAGGCTCCCCCAGAGGCAAGGATCCGCCTCCGAGCAGACCCAGATCCCGACGCTGATCCTCAAAACGCCGACGGATCTCGTCCGCAGCCGCCGGCGGAGCAACAGGCACGCTCGCGGCAGGACGCGCGGGAGGAAGTGGACGGGGAGCAGGATCAACCTCCACGGCGCGGTCACAGCCCAGAGCACCGAGGAAGTCCATCGGCCTCCGCTCTAGGCGCGCCACTGGCCCGGGACGGGCCGATGACCCCGATCTCCCAGGCGCAACAGGCTGCACCAGCGGCCGCCACTCCGAGGAGCGGGCGGGGAAGCACGCGGGGAAGAGGCGGGCGTCGAGGAGCACGCGGAGTACAGCGCAGCGCAGGCCACGCGGCAAGGGGGAACCCCCGCCAGCCACCGAGCCCAATCTGGTTAGGGGAGCCGGCGGAACGAGTCACGCGCCAGTCGTTCGCCAGGCGCGGGGCGAGGGGTGGAAGGACAGCGCAAGCAGGGAGAAATGGCGATACAAATGCAGAGGGGAGTGGCGACGAATATGTACCGTCGGATCTGAGGCAACCCGACAATCCCGACTCACCCCGCGCGGGAGCAGGGGCGGAGCAGGCGCAGCTGCAGGAGAGAGGATTGGGCCGCCGACAGAACCGCAGACCCCAACCCCCCCCGGACGAGGCCCTCTCAGCATCCCAGCTGGCATCGAGGGACGATCTCTTTGAGATCGCGATGAGCTGGGACTTGTCTACCCTAACATCGACTTCTCACCTGCCTATCGTCCGCCGCCTGCCGCCGCAGATCCTAAGCGACTATTCCACCTGTATGCTGGCAGCGCTCCTACGGATCTCCAAGCTGCCAAACTGCGCGGGAGCTTGGCGGGTCCTCATGTTTCTGCCACGTCTGACCCTACGACTTAGCAGGAGGTCCAGCTCTAGGTGGAAGGTGCTGCGAGAACAAATGCACCTATTCAGATGTGGCCACTGGAACCAGCTGTACAGTGACTACACGGGGTCCCTGCACCAAGCCGAACCACCTCAGCACCAAAATGACCCCCTGGGAATCTGCTCACGAGCGGAGGGGCTGGTGAAACGGGGTAACCTGCGAAAAGCACTTGCAGCCCTCCAACCCTCGCCAGCAGCCCCTGCGACAACCGCGACACTACAGCAGTTGGAATCGAAACATCCCCAACCCCAAATTGACCTGCCCGACTGGGTCCACTCCTACACAACACCCACACAATTTTCGTGCACCGCGGAAAACTTCTCAAACGTCCTTGGGGATTGCCCCAGCGGTGTTGGGGCTGGTCCATCAGGGTCAACATTTGAACATTATCGCGACCCAGCCCTAAGTAACATCGAAGTACTAGGGCACCTGCACTCCGCCGTAACCCACCTCCTCTCGACAAACCTCTCCGCCGAGGTTGCAGCACTACTCTCGCCATCCCGCCTCATTGCATTCGCGAAACCAGGGGGGGGGGTACGCCCTATAGCGATAGGAGAATCCCTGCTCCGGCTGGCAGCAAAGGTTGCACTCTCAGAGCTGCAAGGAGAAACAAGGCGATTTTTCTTACCCCAACAATTCGGCGTGGCAGTCCCAGGCGGGGCCGAGTTCGTTATCCATGCAGTCAGAGACCTCACCACTTCACATCCATCAAGCCTAGTCCTCCAACTCGACATCGAAAACGCATTCAACTCCGTAGAGAGGATAGCGTTCTTTAACGCACTCACCAACACTCCGCTCGCCCCACTCATTCCCTTCACACGCTCCTTCTATGCGACGCCTTCACAGCTGCTGACCGATCCCCGCTTAAGCACAACGGCACTCACCAGTGCTAGGGGAGTTAGGCAGGGGGACCCCCTTGGACCCCTTCTATTCGCGGCTTCAATCCAGCAGCACCTCAGACGCGTAGCAACAGAACACCCCGAAGTCACAGTCCTAGCATACGCAGATGACATCACCCTGATTGGACCGGCGACAGCAACGCTAGACGCACTAAAGGTACTGACACCGCTGCTAGCCCAGGACGGCCTCACCTGCAACCTCCGAAAATCGTCGGCCTGGTCCTCCTCGCCGATCGAAGGTAATGAGCTCCCTGAGGGCCTTCCCCTCATCCACGAGGGGGTACGGGTGCTAGGAAGCCCTGTGGGGTCACAGCGCTTCTGCGCTGACCTCGTCCGCAGTACCTTGACTGACGCGGCGGCACCCCTGGGCTCCTTAGCATCCATCCATCCACAGCATACCCTCCTGCTCCTATCTCGCTGCATCAGCCGCAGAATAGGCTACCTGCTGCGCACCACTCCGGCAGACGCCCTACCTCTCTCAGAATGGCATGCGTGGTGCGCCGAACTGCTCAACACTGCCTTAACCGCCGCCAGCATCCAACCACCCCGCCATGACACAGAGTTCAACTTCCTACTTCGCCAAGCAACCCTCCCAGTAGCCCTGGGTGGGCTAGGCCTCACGGACCCCACAACAGAAGCAGCACCAGCCTACCTGGCTTCGACAACAGAGGCGCTACGCCTACTCCGCTCACTTGACCTCCCAGGAACCTCGGCGCTAGGGAGCAACAGCAACGCTCTACAGCCGTCGGCAGCACACTCGGTCACCATCCAAGACATGGAGGGACGACTGCAACCACTGGCACTGCAAATCCTCCGCGGGGAACAGGAATCCCCGTCCCAAGACCAGCTGCAGCGCGCCCTTTCCCAGGAAGTACATGCGGCAAAAGCCGACGGCCTGACAGAGGAATCACGCGCAATCAGGTCTGCCCCCGAGATGGGGCACACACTCCGCCTCGTCAGCCTGAGAGGTGAGGGAGCGGGGGCATGGCTGCAGGCCCTACCCCTAACCCCAGATCTCTGCTTTTCACCAGGGCAATTCCGAACAGCCCTGGCCTTCCGCATGGGCATCCGACAGAACGTACCCACCGTGTGCGAGTGTGGAGAGCTCGTAGCCGACTGCAGCCTCCCCAACCACTTACTCCGCTGCAGCACAGGCCCTGACCGAACACGCACACACAATCAGCTGGCTTTCGCCGTGGCTATAATGGCGAGGGAGGCACAGCTGGTGGTATACCTGGAGAACGCGATGTACTCACCACCGGATGACCCGAAGAAGGCAGATGTGATTGTACGCGACCCAGACAGTGGTGAAACTTGGATCACAGACACGACCATCACTGACCCCGTGCTACAGAACCGTGACCCAGCAGCCCGCAAACCCCCTGGATGGGCTGCAAGGGAGGCTCAGAAAAGGAAGGAACGAGACTACTACAGGCACACAGAACACGTGGTGTTCTGCGCCCTAGCTGTTGAGACCTATGGGGCAAACGCACCCCCCACAACGGCGTTCCTGAAGCTGCTGGCCACAGCAGCAGCTAGGAACCGCTTCAGGGCCAATCCCTTGGCGAAAACCGCCAAGAAAATGGCCTGCCACTTCAGCCAGCGCTGGTCAGTGGCCCTCCAGCGCTCTCAAGCGAATGCCCTGCACACCAAGGCCAGGGCAGGGATCGAGGCGGCGCACCCCCAGATGGCAGCAGACCCATGGCCGCTGCACCTGGGGGACATCCTCCACACACTGGAGGGATAGAGGGTCACTGAGGGGGGAGGAGGGTCAGAGGGATGGGCCAATGGGGCAGAGGGTCTAAAGGGAACCACAAATCAAACCGTATGCTTGTACCCCCGCTGAATTAATACAAAGGACCATTTGAGAGAGAGACACACACACGTGGCTCGATGTACGGCTTGTGGGTGTGTGGGATGGGGAAAATGAGATGAAGCACCTGTTGAAACACCTCACAACCTCACCCACCTGCAGGCCACCACCCACCCACCTGCCATCCGCGCCAGCCTGCAGTCCAGGTGACTCGACGTACGGCTCTTGGGTGCGCGGCGTCGGGGAGATGAGGCACTGGAAGGTACTGGGTGCACTGCGCTTTTTGAGGCCTTTTATGATGCTTCGCAACCCACCTGCCATCCACGCCAGCCGGTTGTCCAGTTGAACTTGTAGTCTGCATCGCGTGACTCGATGTACGGCTCGTGAGTGCGGGGCGTGGGGGAGATGAGGCAGAGGAAGGAGAAGAACTGCTGCAGCCCCACTGAGTCGCCCACAAACGCCACCTTCTTGTTGCGCAGACTGGGAGCAATGAGGATGGGAGAGTGGGTGGGGAATGGACGGGGGAGTGGGAGAATAGGGGTGGGATGGGAGAGAGGAGGGGCATGGGAAGGGGGAGATGAGGCAGAGGAAGGAGAGGAACTGCTGCAGGCCCACTGAATCGCCCACAAAGGCAGCCTTCTTGTTGTGGAGGCTGGTACAGGAGGGGGAAGGGGGTTGAGAGAGGTGTGGGAGGGGTGATAGAGAGTAGAGAAGGGACGAGGGAGAGGGGAATGGGAGGGGAGATGAGGCAGAGGAGAGAGAAGAACTGCTGCAGCCTCACTGAGTCGCCCACAAACGACCACTGAAATGGGAAAGTGAGAGCAGAGAGAAGCAATACAGGGCTCTTTCAAATGAGGACTTGTGGAGCGTGTGGCACACGGGGTTCAGCCGGTTTCAAATACACCACTCTAAACCGTTGCCTTTCGACCACATACAGCTGTGTACCGTGCTCTTTCCCACCAAACGGCACACACTGTTCCGATCGTTCGAGCACATACCATTCTCTGAGCTCCGTGCACTTCAACCCAATCTTCGAGCCACTGACTCCACCAACCACTCTCTCTGTACCCACTTTTGAGGCGCCTAAAAAAAAGTCATCTTTTGAGGTGCCTCAGAAGTTGAGCACATACCATTCTCTGAGCTCCGTGCAGTTCAGCCCAATCTTGGAGCCACTGGCTCCACCAACCACTCTCTCTGTACCCAGTCCCAACCCAAACCACTGAGACGATTTTTGAGGCGCCTAAAAAATCCACTCCACCACTCTCTTCGTACCTATTCTTCCCAATCTTCCCAACCACTGTTTTTTTTAACACCCACACCCAGACCCACCGTTCTTTGAGCTCGGAGCGGTTGAAGCAGGGAACTTTGCATTCCTCCGGCTGCCAGCGGAACTGCTCATACAGAAACGAGTGGCGGTCCTCGCGGCAGCAGGTCCAGTGGGGCAGAGGGAAGAACTGTCACGTGCTGCCGGAATACAGCGGATGGTGCTGCCAACAGCCTCTCACCCACTGGCCCATTTCCTTCCCCACTCTCTCCCCACCCCGCCACATGCGACTGACTGGGCACGTACCGTTCTTGGAGCTCAGTGCGGTTAAACCGAGGCACGCGGCACCCTTCTGGCTGCCAGCGGAACTGCTCGTAGAGAAAGGAGGGGCGGTCCTTGCGTCGGCAGGTCCAGTGGGGTAGCGGGAACTGGCACGTGCTGCCTGAATACAGCGGATGGTGTTGAGAATCCCTCACCCACTCCCCTGAATACAGGTCGCAGGTTTCCGACAGGGGCGGCAACGGCTGTCTTCTTCTTCTGCTGCCTTTCTTTCTTCTTCTCCTTGTCGTTCTGTGCCTGCTGGATGTGCCGTTTAGGGTTGGTGGGTGGCTAACCCCTCCTCCTCCCATGCTATCTACTCCGGTCTCAGCTTCACCTACCCTCACTGGACTAACACCCGCGTGCTCCTGCTGCTGCTCCTGCTGTTCCCCATCGTCCCCTTCCCCCTCTTGCTCCCTTTGCTTCTGACCTAATTGCACTTTGGCAGGGTCCTCATCGTCACCACTGGCTGAAACGACATGGTTACCACTGGAGTGGTTACCACTGACACCAGCAGCAGCAGACTCTCTTTCACCAGAAACAGCGGCACCAAGCCTATCAGCAGCACCAGTTGCACCTCTTTCCCCAGCAGCAGCACCACCATCCATCAGCCGTGCTCTCTCTGCCCTCTGCTCCGCGTCTGTCTCCTCCTCTGACTCCTGCTGTTGCTGCTGCTGTTCCATCCCCTCCATAAGCTTCCTCGCTTCCTCCACTGGCAGGGGATGGAATGGAAGGGCATGCAGTGCCATGGCATGGTGAAACGTCAATGTGGAAGCGAGTAAGCTTATGGAGGGGATGAAAGAGCAAACATGGCTGTGGCGACACGCCACCAGATGGAAAAGCAGCAGCAGCAGCAGACAGGCCTTAGCAGCAGCAGCAGCAGCAGCAGACAGGCCACGTACAGAGGTATTTGTCCACGTCAAGGGGAGACTCGTCATCCTTGAAGTTGCAGGGTGCTTTTGAAAATTCTCACAAATACTCTTTGAAATATCTAAAAAAACACCCGTATGAGACACGAGCTGCGAGCACCAGGCCACGTACAGAGGTACTTGTCCACGTCAAGGGGAGCCTCGTCATCCTTAGCACCAGCCTCAGCTGCATCCTCGTTAGAAGCGTCCTCGCTAGCAGCACCTGATTCAATCCCACGACCTTCAGCAGCAGCAGCAGAAGCGTCACCATCACCTCCCGCAACACCTCCGGAAGCTTCACCGTTACTTCTCCTGCCATTTACGCTGATAGCGCCGTCTCCGCGATTCGCGCTCAATTGACCGTTGCCTTCAATCGAACCGCTTCTTGATCCAGCGACTGGTAGATCCGCGACAGGAAAAGCAGCATCTTTCCGTATCCTCGCCTCATGCCGACTCGCTATCCGTCTACCGGCAATCACCGCGATCGACAAAGCAGTTACGAACACGAGAACCACTGAAAACGCTGATCGAAACGATAAGCCCGTTTTTCCGCTCTTTTCCCTCCCCGATTGCAGCGACGAGCCTTGACTCCCTCCCCCTCCGCCGTCCCCTCTCGAATCTGCCGAGCCCGAGCCGCCGGCTCGGCCATGCCGCGACAAGGCGGATTGAGGCTTGGAGGCCTTGACGACGGAGGCTTGGGAAGAATCGGAAATTCGGGAGTCCTTCTTGCGCGGCTGCATGGAATAATTACGCGAATGACTGATAAGTCGGCTAAATTACGGTTTAATACGGCACGGGGGAGCAGGGAGGAAACGAGTGGGCGTAACGTTGAGAGTAGCGTGTTGAGTTGAGTATCGTTAGCGGAAAAGCAGCAGTAGGCTCGAACTTCCAGCATGACAGCTGTTGGGATTAAAAAAGAACCATCTCAATGGAACAGTGTTAAAAGAGGTCATTCCGTTGCCGGGACTTGAACCCGGGTCTCTCGGGTGAGAGCCGAGTATCCTAACCGACTAGACTACAACGGATGGTGTTATGAGGACCAGTTTTATTTTTATAAGTTTTTTTTTAAAGCGGCGCAGCACACCTTGGGATTGAAGTTGTCGTTCATCCAGATTTCTGCGCTAAGTTGAAATGTGAAAGTAAGCTCGGTTTGATCAGATGCTCTGCGTGTCAGAGCGGTTCGTATGTATTGATCGAAACACTTGCATCAAATTAGGCGAGGCAGGCGGGTCACGGTTTTACGTACCTCGTTCGTTTAGCGTGGTCAAGTACGTTAGAAAAGCACAGAGCCACTAATTTCGCGGCACACGCGTGGCTGGCAGCAGTTGAACAAGCAAGGCTCGCGCTAGCTGAAACCCCGTCATTAATAGTGCACGGGTGCCAAATGCTGTCTTCTAGTCTTGCTCCAGCGCGAAACGCTCCCACAATGGCGGCTACATTTGCGCAGACTACGTTATCAAAGGCGTCCCTACAATCGGTAGCTGTGCCTTCCGCATTTCCCGGACACAAAATTGCGAAGAAGTCTGAAGCATGCTCTCTGTCCACATCCTGGTTCGGTCAAAATCTGCGAGTTCCTATTGGTCGAGCCAGCTCGCGCAGGGATGGCTGTTTCCGGATTGGCGGAGCCGCGGGAGTGAGAGCCGTGGCGGCGACGGAACGATCGGCGGCTGATCGCATTGGTTTGAACGAAATGCCGAGTAAGCTGACCAGCAAGTAGTGCGTGGTGCAGTGCGGTATGTCGCGATGCGTTATACGCCAGTACGATGTGGTGTGGTCCGACACGGTGACGGGGGAAAGCGTCGTAGCGATCAGTTGCGTACTGCAGCGACAGACAGCAACTTGAACGACTCAGCATTCCTCGAATACGTCAATCCCGTGCTTCTGACATTCACCCCTTTTCGATCTGTGATCCTTTTTCCATGCCGCAAGCTCTTCTGTCGTGCTTCAGAAAAGGAGGAGTTTCGCCGTGCCGTCGAGATCCCCGTGTGCTTCCGACATTCACCCTGTTCCCCCTTCTGTGGTTTGGTCAATGCTGTCGGCACCTGTACCCCTTTCGCTGCCTTAACTGCCGTGTTTCAGACGAGGAGGCGTTCCTCCGTGCAGTGTCCGCGGGAAGCAACGTGATCCCCATTTCCCGTCGCATTTTCAGCGACCATTTGACGCCCGTCCTCGCTTACCGCTGCCTCGTTAAGGAGGACGACCGCGACGCGCCCAGCTTCCTCTTCGAGTCCGTCGAAACCGCCAACGACGGCCGAGCCAGATCCGTAAGTGGCGCTTTACTAAGTAAATTACTTTCAAGGTGGGTTGCATTCGTGCGGGGTGTTTTACAGGGTAAATGTCATCCGATGTACCCTACCCGTGAAAACACAAAGGTGAGAAGGCAGCTGAGTAGGTGCTGTGGATGTTGAGTCGTAAAACCCGAAACCCTGCTGACGCAAATGTGGTAGGTAAATTCTCGATGATGAAGCCAGAGCCTCATCACGACCTCCCTTTCACATGATTGTACGCGTTCCTTGTATTTCTGACGACCTGTTACCTCCTCTCCGAGGTATGTGGGAGTGCAGCCAGCACTGGAGGTGGTGGCGAAGGGGGAAGAGGTGGGGTTCTGAGCTCTTATTTCCTCTCTTGTCCCCATCTTCCCCTATCCCCTTATTCCCTCCCAGGGTCGCTACTCGTACGTGGGAGTGCAGCCAGCACTGGAGGTGGTGGCGAAGGGGGTGTTGTGGGGTGCAGCTAGCACCTCTTCTCATCCCCTCTCTTTTCCTTGTATTGCGCTTTCCCAACCCATTCTTTCCCCCAGGGCCGCTACTCGTACGTGGGAGCGCAGCCAGCACTGGAGGTGGTGGCGAGGGGGGTGGGCCCAGTGTCGGTGGTGAACCATGACCTTGGGAAGAGAGAGACGATGGAGGGCAAGGACCCGCTGCAGGTGAGGAAGGGAAGCTGGAGTATGGGGCCAAGTGTGTGGGACAACTGGTATAGGCTGGCTGGGGTGGGGCCACTGTCGGTGGTGAACCCTGGCAAGGGGGCGAGGGAGACAATCGAGGGCAAGGACCCGCTGCAGGTGAGGTCGAACAGACTGGATGTTGTTACGATGATGTGATGGGGTATCGCATGGGTGCGATGTGATGTGATGGGGTATCGCATGGGTGCGATGTGATGTGATGGGGTATCGCATGGGTGCGATGTGATGTGTAAGGGGGTGGGTGGGTGGGCGGGGGGGCCGGGGCCAGTGTCAGTGATGGGCAATCAGGCGCACTGTGTATGCCTGACACACTTTGTGACACTCTTTGTGACTTAATCTTAAAGAGTCAGTAATGTTGCCCTCACCCCACCCATGTCGCCTCTTGGCCACCTGGAAGCCTGCTGCAAGTGAGTCTCTGCCTTGAAGCTGTTTGCTTGAGGCGATTTTTGAGGCAACTCAAAACCCGCCCATTCCCTCTGTCCGCCCTCACCCCACCCATGCGGTCGCCAGGTGGTGCAGGACCTCTTGGCTACCTGGAAGCCAGCTGCCAGCGACTTAGCCTTGAAGTTGCTTCCTTGACTGTCTGACTGACTCACCCTCCATGCCACTCGTCTGTCCGCCCTCGCCTCGCCCCACCCATGCCGCCACCAGGTGGTGCAGGACCTCTCGGCCACGTGGAAGACTACTGCCAGTGAATCTCTCCCCAACTCCTTCTGCGGTCAGTGGTGAATCTCTCCCCAACTCCTTCTGCGGTCAGTGGTGAATCTCTCCCCAACTCCTTCTGCGGTCAGTGGTGAATCTCTCCCCAACTCCTTCTGCGGTCAGTGGTGAATCTCTCCCCAACTCCTTCTGCGGTCAGTGCTGAATCTCTCCCCAACTCCTTCTGCGGTCAGTGGTGAATCTCTCCCCAACTCCTTCTGCGGTCAGTGGTGAATCTCTCCCCAACTCCTTCTGCGGTCAGTGGTGAATCTCTCCCCAACTCCTTCTGCGGTCAGTGGTGAATCTCTCCCCAACTCCTTCTGCGGTCAGTGGTGAATCTCTCCCCAACTCCTTCTGCGGTCAGTGGTGAATCTCTCCCCAACTCCTTCTGCGGTCAGTGGTGAATCTCTCCCCAACTCCTTCTGCGGTCAGTGCTGAATCTCTCCCCAACTCCTTCTGCGGTCAGTGGTGAATCTCTCCCCAACTCCTTCTGCGGTCAGTGGTGAATCTCTCCCCAACTCCATCTGCGGTCAGTGCTGAATCTCTCCCCAACTCCTTCTGCGGTCAGTGGTGAATCTCTCCCCAACTCCTTCTGCGGTCAGTGGTGAATCTCTCCCCAACTCCTTCTGCGGTCAGTGGTGAATCTCTCCCCAACTCCTTCTGCGGTCAGTGCTGAATCTCTCCCCAACTCCTTCTGCGGTCAGTGGTGAATCTCTCCCCAACTCCTTCTGCGGTCAGTGGTGAATCTCTCCCCAACTCCTTCTGCGGTCAGTGGTGAATCTCTCCCCAACTCCTTCTGCGGTCAGTGGTGAATCTCTCCCCAACTCCTTCTGCGGTCAGTGGTGAATCTCTCCCCAACTCCTTCTGCGGTCAGTGGTGAATCGCTCCCCAACTCCTTCTGCGGTCAGTGGTGAATCTCTCCCCAACTCCTTCTGCGGTCAGTGGTGAATCTCTCCCCAACTCCTTCTGCGGTCAGTGGTGAATCTCTCCCCAACTCCTTCTGCGGTCAGTGGTGAATCTCTTCCCAACTCCTTCTGCGGTCAGTGCTGAATCTCTCCCCAACTCCTTCTGCGGTCAGTGGTGAATCTCTCCCCAACTCCTTCTGCGGTCAGTGGTGAATCTCTCCCCAACTCCTTCTGCGGTCAGTGGTGAATCTCTCCCCAACTCCTTCTGCGGTCAGTGGTGAATCTCTCCCCAACTCCTTCTGCGGTCAGTGGTGAATCTCTCCCCAACTCCTTCTGCGGTCAGTGGTGAATCTCTCCCCAACTCCTTCTGCGGTCAGTGGTGAATCTCTCCCCAACTCCTTCTGTGGTCAGTGGTGAATCTCTCCCCAACTCCTTCTGCGGTCAGTGGTGAATCTCTCCCCAACTCCTTCTGCGGTCAGTGGTGAATCTCTCCCCAACTCCTTCTGCGGTCAGTGGTGAATCTCTCCCCAACTCCTTCTGCGGTCAGTGGTGAATCTCTCCCCAACTCCTTCTGCGGTCAGTGGTGAATCTCTCCCCAACTCCTTCTGCGGTCAGTGGTGAATCTCTCCCCAACTCCTTCTGCAGTCAGTGGTGAATCTCTCCCCAACTCCTTCTGCGGTCAGTGGTGAATCTCTCCCCAACTCCTTCTGCGGTCAGTGGTGAATCTCTCCCCAACTCCTTCTGCGGTCAGTGGTGAATCTCTCCCCAACTCCTTCTGCGGTCAGTGGTGAATCTCTCCCCAACTCCTTCTGCGGTCAGTGCTGAATCTCTCCCCAACTCCTTCTGCGGTCAGTGGTGAATCTCTCCCCAACTCCTTCTGCGGTCAGTGGTGAATCTCTCCCCAACTCCATCTGCGGTCAGTGCTGAATCTCTCCCCAACTCCTTCTGCGGTCAGTGGTGAATCTCTCCCCAACTCCTTCTGCGGTCAGTGGTGAATCTCTCCCCAACTCCTTCTGCGGTCAGTGGTGAATCTCTCCCCAACTCCTTCTGTGGTCAGTGGTGAATCTCTCCCCAACTCCTTCTGCGGTCAGTGGTGAATCTCTCCCCAACTCCTTCTGCGGTCAGTGGTGAATCTCTCCCCAACTCCTTCTGCAGTCAGTGGTGAATCTCTCCCCAACTCCTTCTGCGGTCAGTGGTGAATCTCTCCCCAACTCCTTCTGCGGTCAGTGGTGAATCTCTCCCCAACTCCTTCTGCGGTCAGTGGTGAATCTCTCCCCAACTCCTTCTGCGGTCAGTGGTGAATCTCTTCCCAACTCCTTCTGCGGTCAGTGCTGAATCTCTCCCCAACTCCTTCTGCGGTCAGTGGTGAATCTCTCCCCAACTCCTTCTGCGGTCAGTGGTGAATCTCTCCCCAACTCCTTCTGCGGTCAGTGGTGAATCTCTCCCCAACTCCTTCTGCGGTCAGTGGTGAATCTCTCCCCAACTCCTTCTGCGGTCAGTGCTGAATCTCTCCCCAACTCCTTCTGCGGTCAGTGGTGAATCTCTCCCCAACTCCTTCTGTGGTCAGTGGTGAATCTCTCCCCAACTCCTTCTGCGGTCAGTGGTGAATCTCTAACCAACTCCTTCTGCGGTCAGTGGTGAATCTCTCCCCAACTCCTTCTGCGGTCAGTGGTGAATCTCTCCCCAACTCCTTCTGCGGTCAGTGGTGAATCTCTCCCCAACTCCTTCTGCGGTCAGTGGTGAATCTCTCCCCAACTCCTTCTGCGGTCAGTGGTGAATCTCTCCCCAACTCCTTCTGCAGTCAGTGGTGAATCTCTCCCCAACTCCTTCTGCGGTCAGTGGTGAATCTCTCCCCAACTCCTTCTGCGGTCAGTGGTGAATCTCTCCCCAACTCCTTCTGCGGTCAGTGGTGAATCTCTCCCCAACTCCTTCTGCGGTCAGTGGTGAATCTCTCCCCAACTCCTTCTGCGGTCAGTGGTGAATCTCTCCCCAACTCCTTCTGCGGTCAGTGGTGAATCTCTCCCCAACTCCTTCTGCGGTCAGTGCTGAATCTCTCCCCAACTCCTTCTGCGGTCAGTGGTGAATCTCTCCCCAACTCCTTCTGCGTTCAGTGGTGAATCTCTCCCCAACTCCTTCTGCGGTCAGTGGTGAATCTCTCCCCAACTCCTTCTGCGGTCAGTGGTGAATCTCTCCCCAACTCCTTCTGCGGTCAGTGGTGAATCTCTCCCCAACTCCTTCTGCGGTCAGTGGTGAATCTCTCCCCAACTCCTTCTGCGGTCAGTGGTGAATCTCTCCCCAACTCCTTCTGCGGTCAGTGGTGAATCTCTCCCAAACTCCTTCTGCGGTAAGTGCTGAATCTCTCCCCAACTCCTTCTGCGGTCAGTGGTGAATCTCTCCCCAACTCCTTCTGCGGTCAGTGGTGAATCTCTCCCCAACTCCTTCTGCGGTCAGTGGTGAATCTCTCCCCAACTCCTTCTGCAGTCAGTGGTGAATCTCTCCCCAACTCCTTCTGCGGTCAGTGGTGAATCTCTCCCCAACTCCTTCTGCGGTCAGTGGTGAATCTCTCCCCAACTCCTTCTGCGGTCAGTGGTGAATCTCTCCCCAACTCCTTCTGCGGTCAGTGGTGAATCTCTCCCCAACTCCTTCTGCGGTCAGTGCTGAATCTCTCCCCAACTCCTTCTGCGGTCAGTGGTGAATCTCTCCCCAACTCCTTCTGCGGTCAGTGGTGAATCTCTCCCCAACTCCATCTGCGGTCAGTGCTGAATCTCTCCCCAACTCCTTCTGCGGTCAGTGGTGAATCTCTCCCCAACTCCTTCTGCGGTCAGTGGTGAATCTCTCCCCAACTCCTTCTGCGGTCAGTGGTGAATCTCTCCCCAACTCCTTCTGTGGTCAGTGGTGAATCTCTCCCCAACTCCTTCTGCGGTCAGTGGTGAATCTCTCCCCAACTCCTTCTGCGGTCAGTGGTGAATCTCTCCCCAACTCCTTCTGCAGTCAGTGGTGAATCTCTCCCCAACTCCTTCTGCGGTCAGTGGTGAATCTCTCCCCAACTCCTTCTGCGGTCAGTGGTGAATCTCTCCCCAACTCCTTCTGCGGTCAGTGGTGAATCTCTCCCCAACTCCTTCTGCGGTCAGTGGTGAATCTCTTCCCAACTCCTTCTGCGGTCAGTGCTGAATCTCTCCCCAACTCCTTCTGCGGTCAGTGGTGAATCTCTCCCCAACTCCTTCTGCGGTCAGTGGTGAATCTCTCCCCAACTCCTTCTGCGGTCAGTGGTGAATCTCTCCCCAACTCCTTCTGCGGTCAGTGGTGAATCTCTCCCCAACTCCTTCTGCGGTCAGTGGTGAATCTCTCCCCAACTCCTTC